GATCTATGTACACTACTTTAAGCTCACTGCAAGAAAGATAGAAATGTATTAAGTAAATAAAAATATACCAGAGTTCACCATTTTTCTTTAGGCAAAGCCAATTAGCCACCAATTAGCCCATGAGATCTTAGAACATTTTCTCGAGTGCCATTTTTTCGTGTCAGGAGCATCTTGAGAAACTGCAAGTTGCTTCTGATGTGAGAGAATTGGCTGTCTGCAAGGACATTGCCCAGGGGATGCCCGGATGTTTTACCATCCTGTGGGAGGCTTCTCCCATGTCCACGCATGGGGAGCTGGAGCTGATTGACGGGAGTTCAGCCCGCTCCCCAGATTCGAGCCACCGACCCTTTGGTCAGCAGTTCTGTCAGCACAAGAGTTTAACCCATTGTGCCACCGGGGCAATTGGCCCATGCCCAACAAGGACTTTTTTTTTTCTAGCACACTCCAGTGGAGAAAGAAAAGAGAAATCTTTGGGACAAGGTGCCTTAGCACAATATAGAAACAATGGCTGGACTACTGCAAAAAGTATGAACTGTTAGATGCAGATCCAAACACAATTTTGCACCGTGGTAGAAGAGAGGTTTCTATTAGGGCTTCAGGTAAGATGCTGTTCCTGGAAGAAGCAAGACAATCTTAGAAAGGGGAAGGGTCTCTCCTTGTTCTTTGGCTTCTGGAGCTGCCCTTCACAACAGTTGAACCTGGCACCTGGAGACAAATGAGTTGAGTCGTCTGAGGAAAAATAACATAGCCCTTTCTCTATGTTGCAATTACAAAACAGGGATACACAACTCCTCTGGAATTTAAATCTCCTAAGGAACGCATGCCTTTTCCTTTATTCAGAACAGCTTTGCCCCACGTTCTGACATTTTGAGATTATGATTCACAAAAACAATAATGACCCCAAAGAAGCACTCTGTCTGTATGAATGTTGCATAAGAACATTAAGCAGAAATTCTGCTCTTTTAGTTTGTATTTCACAATGACATCTATAGCATGCTCCTTATGCACACTTCTGGGTTCAACTCCTTGTCCATTTTTGCTTTAAGGGAATGCATACTCTGTTTGAAGTACTGCCAATGCACTTTAGGGAAATATATATTTGTATGTACTTAAACAATAAGCATTTCCCCAAATACTTTTGTAATTTTTCCTCTGTTTCAGCATATACAGTTTGAGTGTCTCTTACCTGAAATGCTTGGGACCAGAAGTGTTGTGTATTTTGAATTTTTTAAAATTTTTGGAATATTTGTATCTACATGAGATATTTTAGAAATGGGACCTAAGTTTATTTATGTTTCCTATACAAATTACCTGAAGGTAATTTTATACACAACATTATTAATAATCTTCTGCATGAAGCAAAGTTTGCATATCCTGAACCATCAGAAAGTAAAGGTGTCACTATCTCAACCACCTATGTGGATAATTTTGGAGAATTTCAAAATTCTGATTAAGTGATGTTCAAACTATGTAAGATATCAGGATGAGCATCCTTTATACTCATGTTGTTGGCTGTATTTGTTTTATAGGATGCTCTCAACCGCAAGAGCTGTCTCTTGCTTTATTGCATTTGCAGTCATATTGGATAAAGAAAACATCACACATTTTTCACAACATAATAGATCTCTCATATTCAGTGTATTTTTATTTTAAAAAGGAAAAATTTGATAGCATAATGGGTCTTTCATATTCAGATATTTCCAAGCGTACCTTTATTTAAAAAGAGAAAAATATTCTACACGATTGTCTCTGTTAGCAAAGCAAATTGGGAACATTTTTAAAGCGATTCATCCCCTCTTTAGGCCAGGCACAAAAAATTCATTGCTCAGGATATGTCTCTGGATCCAACATTACCCCCACCCTATGCCCTCAAAAGCCCAGTTCAGCTGATTTTGCTTCTCCTTGCGACGGTCTCCAAAAACAGCATGAAAGCGGAATTAGAAAGCCTAGGGCCCGAAAAGGTCTGTGTATTTGATTAACATGAAAAGTTGTGTCTAGGAAAAGAGAAATGAAGGACTCCATTTGTTATAAATATATACATGGAGTTCCTGATACTTACCATAGCATTCTTTATTCTATACGTGAGTTACACCTCAGTTCCCTTCAGCCAAAACTAAGATACATAAATCTTCATTCACACTAACAAATAAAAGGAACACAAAACAACTGAGAACAAATAATTAGTTTGAATTAAAAATAGAAAAGTCCATCTTACGGCTAGTTCAGTTTAAAAACATTTTACTAGATTTTAAACGCTGAGTTCTTCAAACTCAAGACTGCATTTGAGATGAATTCGGAATGCTACCTTTTGGAGGCACAAGGCACTTTTTTTGGAAAGAGAGAAAAAAAAGCTAAAATTAGTTGTGTCTGTGAGTGCCTTTGTTTTTACACAAAGCATTACGCGAAAGCCTTCAAGGGGAAAAAGGAATATGTTTCCCCCATTCCTTCCTCCCTAAAGTTCAAAGACCTATAATAGTTTTTCCATGTAAATAACGAGTCAGGTTTAAACAAAGAAAAAAACATATATATTCACAAATGCAATTAATTTTGGATGAAGTAATTTGATTTCCTTGTACAGTATATAATGCTTCTCTTCCTTGCTTTCCTCGTTTGCAAAATATGTAAATATTTAGTAATATGAATAAACAGGGTCTGGAGGGTTTTTTTTCCACTTTTGCCATATACCTGACATGCCAGCTTTAATAACATTGGATAGTTTATTTTAAATTGGAAGTTTATTTCTAAAGTTCTCGTCTAGTTAGAAAGACTCCCATCAGCAAAGTCAGTCCCAATCAGAGGAGAATAATTGAAAACAAAAAAAATCATTCACTATTGAAATTAGAAGAGAAAATTTTGGTCAGAAAACTTTTTTTTTTACAAAATGGTAAGACAAAGAAAGAAAACACACTTCAACAATACTCAAAACTCCAGTTAAAAGGCACTTTTACACAGACCCCAAAGCATTCAAAAGTTATTTACTGGAACTGAAGTATAAACAATCATAAAACTAACTCAAGACCTACTTTAATGGGTGTCTGATCAGAACCATGGATCAGAACATGTAAGTTGTCAATTGAAGAATTGAGATGTTGGAAAGGACTGTGATTGTCTGCACACGGTCATATGTGTGCAAGTTTAGCTGAACTCAAGCAGGATTAACGTGGGCACAATATCCACACTAAAGGGGACATACGTCTATGTCGGAACAATTGCTCAGAATGCAATGGCAGTGCTGGAAGCTGGGCTAAACTTATGACAGTTGCATTTTCAGTAAACAGTACACATCTAATAACTTGATTCAACATTTCAAAAATCTCCCATACTAGATATATTTGCAAGGCAGAGTGGCATTAAAAAAAAAACCAATTCTTCCTCCGGATCCAACCTGATTTGTTCTTTCATTCTGTCACACCACTCTGCCTGAACTCTTTTGCAACCTCCCATGCTTTCCTTATCAGAGTCCCTTTTCAGTGAGCGCATCCACATCCAGCGTCGCAGGGGATGTTGCCCCTAATAATGTTGGAGAGCAGAGTGCTGAGTCACAAGCCTTGTGTGGAAATAGGATGGGGAAGTCTTTTGCTGATTAATGAATTACAATCACAGATATTCTTACACACACAAAGGACAGAAGAACATTGGGATGAATGAAACCAATGTGAATGAACTTTCTTTTTTTTTGTCTTTTCTCTCCCTGGGGGTGGAGGAACAGACAAAGAATCACCCCTCCCCTCAATGCCCTTGACTGGCTGTGAAGCAAACAATTGGCACTCACTCCCACATCAGCCTTTCATGACATCTGTCGCCTGGAGGGTTAGTCACCTGCCGGTGACTAAAGGCCACTCCACTTGTGAGAATGGGACAAGCATCTGACAACAGCCCACCAGCAGGCCATTGTGTTTTGTTTCCTGTGAGAGGGCACTGGGGAAAGTGGCTGTACCCTAGGTACCTGGCGCATGGATGGGACGGCTTGGGAGGTGGAAGCCCTCCTCCACAGCCCAGGCCAGAAGGCTGGGCCGAGGAATTCTCAGACAGGAAAAAGTAAGAGACACTTAGGACGGGAAGCATGGGGAAAGGCAAAAGGAGTGGAGAAAGGGAATGGGTCAGTTTCTGCTTCCTTCTATCCCCACCCCTTTCCTTCCCACCCCCACTCTCTTTTTCTCCCTCCACCTTCCCTTTCCAAATCTGGCATTTCAGCCTGAGACAGGGTGGTTTCGCACACTCACCTCGCCTTGTCTCTTTGTAGGGGAGAGGAGCCAATCTGCAGTACCTCCCCTTCCCCCGTGCCCCCCACACACCCTCCCACCCTCTGGGACTGGGCTTTGCTTTGTGGTTAAAGCTTTACACGTCAGAAGGAGGGGGGCTCGAAGAAGAGGAGAAGGTTGCACAAATATCCTTCACCAAATTAAAACACACACACACACAAAACCAAACCCACAACCAAACCCTTGTGAGTGGGATTGGCAAATGGGATTATTAATCCTGGCCCAGAATAAAGGAGGCAGCAGATTCCATGCAGACCCCTCGCCGAAAGGACGCACTCAGGCACACACCTACCTTCCAGGGCTGCAACCGACTGGGGCTTTAACCAGATGGAGTTCAGAGCAGGTAGGCACCTTTGGTACCCTTCACCAGCCACCTTCAGGACCCCAAGCGAGCCTCTGCCAAACTCAAATGGTTTCTCCAACATTTGCTGGAAGCCCCCCTTTAAAAAAGAAAATGCCACTAGCAACTCTTGGCAGCATCCAGAGATCTAGAGAGGGGGGTGGGGGGGGGAGGAGGGGGTGGGGTATGGTGGGCTGGTATTTCCTCCTTTGGAAAGTGCTTTGAAAAAAAAAACAACCCCCCAAAAAGTTTTCTTTTCCCCTTCTTTAGAGAAAACCCTACTCCTAGCTCTTTTACCTTTCTCTTACCCCTCCCAGCCCTGAAGTTTGGAGATCTGAAGTGGGGTATTTTGGGGTGGGTGGCAATATTGGGGGGGGGGGGGGCAGAAAGAAAAATGAATGAGCCTCGCTCTTGTATACTATTGCATCAAATACATTCTTGAAAGCAACCTGGTTCTGTTTAACACTTGAATTTTTTTTTTTTAAAGAAAGGCAGTCGCTTCGAGAGAGGGTGTATGCGCTTTTTCCTTTCCTTTTTTTATATTCTTACATTCCTGGACACCAATCAAAAGAGCAAATCACGGGAGGTGGAAGAGAGGGGAGAGAGAGAGAGAGAGCAAGAGAGAGCGTGGTGAAAACTTTGCGCACATAACAAAAAAAGAAAAGAAAAAAAAGTACAGACAGCTTTTCCCACCTAACACCCAGCAAACACAAACCAAAACAAATAGGCAAAAGGGAGAGATAGAAAAGAGAGAGAGAGAGAGAGAGAGAGAGAAGAACGGAACTGAACGGAACCTAGGGCAGAGCCAGCTGGGGAGAAAGGCAATTTTTCACTCCGCATCGGGGATCTGCAGCGAATATTCGGGGGGAAACCGTTTGCCTGCTAACCCACAACGTCGCCCCCAGCCCACACTCTGAGTCTACTATGCTATGTGTTGCTGGGGGGAGTCCAGGTAAGGGCTCGCATCTCGTTCACTTTGGAGGAAGGGGGGATGGGGCGGGGGTCCCGCCAAGCGCCTTGTCTTTTCCCCCTCTCTCTAAACCGCTGCTGATTCTAATTTGATTTGATTAAAACGTCTGTCTGGCTTTGGGGCTGATTTAAGACTTTCCCTCTGCGACCCCCCCTTCCCCTCTTTTCATGCATGTTTGTGATTATGGGGAGGGAGGGGGGTAATAGCCTCTGCTTAGCAAGGGAATGACATCCAAAACTGACAGAGGAAAATCATGGTCACCAGGATTCGAGACAAGGGCTTAGGAAGGGGTGTTTCCTCCACTTTCCACCACTTGAGTGAAGTGCTGTCCCAATACCAAGAGAAAGTCTGTTTAGTTATTAAAACAAGAAAAGGAGAGCTTGTTTGTTTGTTTTTAAACAAAGAACAGGAGAAGGAGAAGGCGTGGGATGCTGGGGCGGGTGGGCGGGCGGGCTGGAGGGGGATCCTGAAACAAGTTTCTGGCCAAACTAAGAAAAGACCTTCTCTGGGGTGGATGGAAGTGGCGGAAGGGGGGAGCGTGGAACAAAACCCTAGGAACAGTTCCGAGCTTGCTTAAGTAATGGGAGGGTGTTTCTCTGTGTGTGTGTATTTGGTTAATCCTTGGAGTTTTAGCGTTTGCATCCTGCTTAGCAAAACTTTTCTTGCTGCTACTCCGAGAAGGCTGGAAGGGGGTTGCGATTACTTGGAGTGAGAATGCTTTCTCCTGCAGGGTGTAATTTTTATAAGCAATGGGGGTTTTGTGTTTTGCAGACAACACCCCAGGTTTTCTGGGAGAGGGATTGTGTTTAAAATAAAATAAAATATAATAATGTAAAAACAAGCCTTAAAAGGTCAAAAGTGGTTTGTTTCCTGGACTGACTCTTTTGACAATCAGGCTGTTTGGGAAGAGGGGAGCCTCTTGCTCCCACAGAGTCAACTCTTTAAAAAGAAAGAACAAACAAACAAAGGGATAAAGAAAAAACAACAACAAAATCTTTTGGTTCTTTCCCTTCACATTCTGGATGCAGAGCAAAGGAGACAGCGCAAAGAAAGTGGAAGAGGGAATATGCCGGAAAAACGTGAGGCCAGGGCAATTGATTCTCTTAATTCCTCTAGGACTAGACAGACATAGCCAGAACTTGCTCTTTCAGGTCTCAAGAGCCCGAAATCTCGCTGCTAGGTCTGATGGGGGAAAGATGCTCCCTTTTGGCCTGGGGCTTTGCACAGCCAGTCCGTCCTGCTCCTTGGCTGAAGCATTCAGAGAAAGTGAGGAAAGAAGGGAAGGAGGGTGAATAGGAACACACTTGATAAATGCAGACAGTTCTATCACCCTACAACTGCAACTGATAGTATAGGGCCAAGTGTTGTTAGGGGCTCTTCATCAGTACAGCCCTGATGATGATGATGATGATGATGATGATCATCATCATCATCATCATCATCATCATCATTATTTATATCCTGCCACCATCTCCCAAAAGGGACTCAGGGCAGTTTACAAAGCACCGCATTATAGTGCCATACAACACATAAATACACCAGAAGTGTATGAGAGAAGATGAAGATGGTCAGGCCTCTAATCTTTAAACAACAATGTCTTGGAGACTGGGTAGATTTTGAGCAGCAAAAAAGAAATGCTACACAGAAGAAGCTGTGCAGAACTTTTTCTGCACAGTATCATAGAATGATGTGGCTACGATTGGTACACTGGGAAATGACATATCTTTTATAAAGAACATCATTTCCTTAGCTGTACATATACTGGAGCCTCCTTTACTCTGACCGGCACTGATGATCCCATTTGCCCGTCCCACTTGCTAGTGTTTGGTGGTCACTAGTGGATTATAGAGGCAAGTGCTCCATGCAAGGCAAGGAGCATAGAAGAAAGCGATAGTCGTAAAGTTTTCAACCTTGGCAACCAGTTCATTCTAGTTTTTCTAGCTTAATAATTTGCCCAGTTAATGCTAAAGAGCAAAACGGAATGCAAAAGAGATGTGAGAGTCCTTCCTCCAAAGAGACATGGACTGCCATGGCAAAATTCAATGTCTGGAGAAAAAAGCTTGGAAAAGTTAATTTTTGTACTTAGAATTCCCAGTTATATTTGTAGCCAACTCTAATGTAGATGAAGTTAAGATGTCAAGGCTAATATAATTGCAAGGATAACAGGTGCTTGAGGCTGGCAGAGTCCTGTTAAAAGGGTTTAAAAAGAGAGAGAGAGAAGGTAGGACTACTCCAGGAAGCCTTTTCAGTTATGCTATGGAGTCATACATACTGAGATACACCAGGGATAAAGGAACTTTGGTCTTCTGAGTTCCCACAGTCCCTTATTGCTGCCCTTACTGAGTAGAGTCAATGAGGTTTTGGGTCAAAACATCTGGAGAAGGTCCTCCAGGAAGGACTCTTGGCATGTGCCCTAATACTACATCCTCCTTGTGTTCAGACAAACCATTTATGTGCATCTGCATGCATGTGGATATGTTCATCTTTTCTTATAAATGCCCCTTGTGAAAAGGAGACAGGATGAGGAGTTTTTATGCTTGGTTTATTAGCCCACTAATTATTTAGCAAAAAAGCATGGAGTCCCTGATGGGATCCATTTTAAATGGACATTTTTCCTAATATATAGAAATGGAAAGGCCACATACTCTTGTTTTCACTTCTTCCAATTTCCCTGAACCATTGACCAGATAGATAGATAGATAGATGGATGGATAGATAGATAGATAGATAGATAGATAGATAGATAGATAGAAATATATGTGTATATGTGTGTGTTTCAGTACAAAGACATCCCTTTCAGTGAGTGGTAACCTAGTCAGGCAGCCCAAATGACAGAAGCTGGAAAGTAGGGAAAGATGGAGAATTGTTGGGTGGTAAAGCCATATGACCTGCCCTGTACGATCTAGGCCAGTGGTTTCCAATCTGTAGTCTGTGGATCACCAGTGGTCTGCAAGGACTAAAATATGGTCCACGGCCTCACCGTTACTACACCGTTAAAACGAGAGTGACTGGTCTTGCAAAACCCTCTTATAGTGCTTAGGCTTATTAAATGTGTGTTTTTTTTCCTGTGGGTGAGCAGAGAGTGACTTCTGGATGGCATATGTTCTGTATCAGAAATTAGAGCTGATGTGGTCTTTACAATGCAATGTTCTGAAATCAGCACCCTAAATAATCAACCTGAGTCTAAAGTTGATCAAAAACTGATTGGTATCACTTTTGGTACTAATGTTGGAGAGTGGTCCCTGGTCAAAGTGGTCTCTGGTCAAAAAAAGGCTGGGAACCTCTGATCTAGGCTAAGCTACTGAAACTTCAGTTTGCTGGTGGATTCTGTTGCATTGTCACTGCAGAAGGTTCAATTGCCAGAATGATTTGCATAGAATACAAAGAATAGCAGGGGAGGATGCCATCCTGACCTTCGCTTCAGGTCAAAGAATATTTCAGTCCAGCAATTTAGGTCAAGTATGACCCTGAAGACAGAATCTGTATTGTATCAGGCCTTATGTCAAAAGTTGTATGTGTTTCACTGCACTGTCATGGAGTTTATGTATGGTACACGAAAGAAGGAGAGAGAATATAAACCAAAATTGGAAGGGAACTAATTCGCACTACCTATCCTGGTAGTGTCTACATGGCAGCAATCTGCTTCAGTTTATTTTCGATCTAGGTTAGACCACATTGCTGTTTTTAGTCTGACTTTGAATTGATGGGGCAAGCCACATGCAAGTGTAAAACCAGAATATGAGTTTGCCTGTTGGGTCTCTCAAATGAAATCCAATACTATTTAGGGATGAATTAGGGGAAAAAAGAAAATCCTTCACATGTGTATTTTTCCAGGAAATATTTATATTTATACTTATGTAAGAGGTCACATGCATATTCAAAGGTCTTGTCAAATAAGTCATTTGTAATGTGCTTATCTGTATTTGAAATACCGCCTTATCTCTGACTTATTTGTGTATCTCCCTCTGTATTAACTCTGCTTTTGCCTATCAACTTTTGGTGATCCCATGAATTTCATAGGTTTTTCTTAGGCAAGGAATTCTCAGAAATGGTTTTGCCAGTACCTTCTCTGAGCTATAGCCCACAGCACCTAGTATCCATTGACAGTCTCCCATCCAAGCACTAGCCAGGGCTTAACTTCTGATGCCTTTTGGTTCTTTATCTCTGCTTTATACAGTACCATCCTATAAAAGTGTATTCTGAAGTAACTTGACTTCAGTGGGACATACTCTTAGGTCAGTGGTTCCCAACCTGTGGTCCATGGACCACCAGTGGTCCGCAAGAACGAAAATATGGTCCACGGCCTTACCATTACTACACCGTTGCTTCAAAACCATTCGGCAACAAGAGCAACTAATCTCGTGAAACCCTCTTATAGTGAGGAGGCAACTGGGATGTCGGAAGGGGAGAGGCTGACTCCCCTTGAAAGATTACTACTACTACCTCAGCTCTAGATTATTGAATATGGTTTTCTCTGGGTGAGCAGATGGTGACTACTGGGTGGCATATGTTCTGTATCAGAAACTAGAGCTGATGGGTCTATTCAATGCAATTTTCTGAATCAGCACCCCAAATAACCAAACTGAATCTAAAATTGACCAAAAACCGATTTGTAACCCTTTCGGTATTAATGTTGGAGAGTGGTCCCTGGTCAAAAAAGGTTGGAAACCACTGTCTTAGGTAAAGGCTGTCTTTAGCCTTCTTTTCATTATGGTGTGAAAAGGAGATGAGGGTATCTGGGTTTTTGTCCAATTGCCAAATTATACGAGGGAGTCTGCTGAATTCCCTAGACCTTGCTCACTCCTCAATGAATGTTGGAAATAGTCACAGCAAAGACCTCTGGGCTCTTGCAAAATGATAAAACTGAACGCTTGTGGTCTGACTTGCAGGAAGCACATCAACAGCAAATAATCTATACCAAGATGCTCAGCTCCCAGACCTACTGGGACTGCCCCAAAGCCTTTGAATCTAGCCTTGATGGGGAACACATGCCCTTTGCCCTGTCCCACACTCCAGTTTGGAAAGAACTCTGTAGTGGTGCATATGTAGAAATGGGGGTGGGGGAACTTCCCAGAAAAAACAACAAAAACATGCATTAACACAACCCCTGACATGCCTGCCTCTTGATGTGGGACCAAAGCTGGGACTGAGCCAAAGTGTAGACCACATGTACAAGGGAAAAAAAACCAAAAACCAGGGGGGAGGGGCTGAGAAGAAAGAAATTGTGATCTTTTCAATCCCAAATTTAACGAGGATGAAAATATTATGACCTAGTTTCAGCAAATGTCTTGTGTCTCAATACAGAGGAAAAAAATGGGGCTGAGATGCACTTTCCGCTGTCCTTGAGAGACATTAATTCCCAATTAGGGTACATTGCAAGTAGCATGGTTTCAGGCCTTTTTTTCTTACACAAGAGGATAGGGTTAACGACAGCTTTTCAGTCTCAACAGGTAGACTGCCTGCTGTCCAGTTTCTAGCGTTCCCTCACATCTATGCATGTGTACATACTTTTCCATGTGCATGCCCTTTCTCTACAGATGCTCCTCATTAAGCTTGCTGCTGGTTTAGGTTTGTTGATCCTAAGCCTGCAGCCAGGAAATTAAAGAGGGGAAAGGAAAAGTTATAGGAATGGTTTGAAGATTCTATGTTACTGTGACAAGATAGTAATGCGTTCGTATGGAATGAGAGTGGAACAAATGAGCCTCGAACAGGACAGTTTGAGAGAGACATAATTTTTAGGGGCACATACCAGTCACTATTTCCATCACTCCTAGTTCAGTCTTGCAGCACAGGAATGAGCTTGTTCTCTTTTCTTAGGGACTCCTCCGTTTTCCAAGCAGTGGTTTGAAAACTGGAAATTTAATTTGACCTCCTCATAATGGCCAGGCGTTAGAATTCGGTATCCGCAGAGCTATCCGCTGGGCTATTGCCTGTAAAATCTGAAAGAAAGAACTAACACTTAACGTATGGAATAACTCATTGTATCTCACAACTTTTGGAAACAAATTTCCTCTGCTTGCATATGAAACTCTGGGCAAAATGTTTACCACATGGTTTGAATTTATGCAGGGCTGCCAGGGGCCTGAGAGAATTGTTTCATGGACGAGGGTTGACATACAACTGGGAGTACCCTGGGAAGTGGAAAATGCCTTCTTCTCCTTCTCCCCACCAGGGCCTCCCCATTCCAGGCTGCCATGTGATTTCTCTCCAAGTCACAATTTGGATTGCACAGACCCCACGCAACATTTGGATCGCACCAACCCAGTCAGTTTTGCAGACAGACAGGTGATCAGCATGAGCATTTTTAAAAAAAGAGTTTTACACTCAGAGAAACAACTCCACACATTAAAGGCAATCGGATGTTATCTTATTCCCATGCAGGGACATGAGAGTAGCCTCCCACAGGATGGGAAAACATCTGAACGTCCCCTGAGTAATGTACTTGCAGACGGCCAATTCTCTCACACCAGAAGTGACTTGCCATTTTTCAAGTCACAGGCCCATAGCCAGGATTTTGATTTGGGGGGGCTGAGTCTGAGTGAAAGAGTGTCTACCCTAGCAAACATTTTGTATTGTTACCCCAATACCCCTCATGCATATGGGATATATTGAGCATGGTGATCAGATCATGATATGAATAAACATCACAGTTTAAATAATGTACCAGTAAGGCCTTCTCGCGGACAGGGGCGGCTCAACCCATTACGCAAAGTAAGCATTTGCAGCATAGTTGATTTTGCCCAGGGGTGCTCTTGAGGCACTCTTGGGGGAAAATAGACCTTGACATATGCGAGTTGTAGTTACTGGGATGTATAGTTCACCTACAATCAAAGAGCATTCTGAACTCCACCAATGATGGAATTGAACCAAATATGGCACACAGAACTCCCATGACGAACAGAAAATATATATCAGTGATTAGTTGGGGGGGGGGGCAAAATATTGTTTGCTTACCATTGAAAATTACATAGGGCCACCTCTGCTCGCGGACCACCCTGAGAATTTCAGGGGGGGGGCTGAAGCCCCTCAAAGCAGGGAGCAATCTGTCCCCTTTAGACACTTTCCTCAGATATCTCAACTGCTTAGTTACCAGACTAAGTGCAGTCCAAGTATGCAGACAAACCATATAAACAAAAAAATCAAAAGAGGAACAGTTAGCGTATGATAATTGATAGATGATCTAAGTGCTTGTTTCCTCAGGAAATTATGAAAGGAGCATTTTTTAAAAAGAACTATGAAAACTAATGTATAGTCTACAAAGAAAATAGGAATAAACCAAGGTTAAGACAAAAAACAGATAATATGAAGATTTCAAAGACAGAAACCAACAGATCTGACAAACATAGTCAAGTTTGTTGGGATGATGGGTCTTGAATCAGAAAGCATCGATGGGAAAGATCACCCCCTCCCTCCTAGCCTTCAGAAAGGAAGTAAAAACCTGACTTTAGGATCAGGTTTTTGGAGAATAGTGCAGTACAATAACAGATTTGGAATATGTGCAATGACTACGGAATGTCTTTGGACTATGATTATGGATGACGTGATTTATATTGAATGTAATGTTTTTAAACATTTTGAATGCTTAATATTGATTAATTTGATTTTAATTTTAATATGATTGGAATTGTATGTGTTTTAAGGCATTGGAAAATTGCCTATATATAAGCTGCTTTGAGTCCCCTTTGGGGTAGAGAAAGGCACGGTATAAATAGGGTAAATAAATAAATAAGTAAATAATAAAAACGTACATCATAGGCAGTAAAAGCAAGACTGTAATTGGGTCAATGGATAAGACATTTAGGTGCATCTATACTGTAGAATTAATGCAGTTTAACACTACTTTAACTGATGTGGCTCAATGCTATGGCACCATGGGAGCTGTAGTTTTACAACATCTTTGGCTTTTTCTGCCAAAGGGTGCTGGCGTTTCCCCAAATTACAACTCTCGGGATTCTATAATATTGGGCCATTGCAGTTAAAATGGTGTCAAATCAAACTGTGTTAATTCTACAGTGTAGATGCATCTTTAGTCACTAAGGATTTAGCTTGACATCTCCAGAAAAGGCAAGGCGAAAGCCATCATGATGGAGTGTTCTGTGGTTTACGGACTGTACGACCATGTAGTATTTTCTCCTGACATTTCACCTGTTTCTGTAGCTGGCATCTTCAGAGAAAATGCTATTGGAAATGGCCATACAGTCTGGAAAATGCAAAACACCCCAGTGATCCCGGTCACGAAAGCCTTTGACAATGCATTGAGATGTTATGATATTTACCCTGACAATATTTAGTAAATGAAACTTAATTCTGCCTATACTGAATTTCAGGCTATTAAGAGGATAGGTCATGTTGCTTGGATATAAAGCCAAAAGCAAATGACTTACTCAGGTGAGAAGGTATCTCAATAATGTAGCGCAGAAGCACCAGATATGAGGTTCTAATAACCCTGATACAAAATGGAATGGAAAAAACTACAAAATGCTCAAGAATGATAAGGATGGAGCAACGGGAGAAAATAGATGTTCAAGGAATAAGAACCTGTGGTAGTGTCCAAGGGAACAGAGGGCAGAACATTGTTTCCAAGCTCAGTTCAGAAAGAAGGGCTGGAGGAGTCACATCACTGCTCTATGCCAAATTTTGAGCTGCACTCTGTAAAAGCCATGAGCAGACAAGAAATGTGAGTCAAGTCCCGTTGATGATAGGCTACTTTAATAAGAGGGAGATGACTCTATAAAGAAAAAAAGAGCTATGGTAAGTTCCTAAAATAAGCACAGAGGCCATGAAAACAGGCTGAGCCTCAAAGACTTCATTTTCTTAAGCAGGTATGAGGAAATTTTGGGCTTCTAGAAGTTGAATTAAATTTCTCATCATCCCCTACTACTGACTGTATGGATTAGGACTGAGAAAGGTTGCAGTCTAACAGTATCTACAATGTGTTGTTGAAGGCTTTCATGGCCAGAATCACTGGGTTGCTGTGAGTTTTCTGGGCTGTATGGCCATTTTCCATTAGCATTCTCTCCTGACGTTTCACCTGCATCTATGGCAGGCATCCTCAGAGGTTGTGAGGTCTGTTGGAAACTAGGAAAGTGGGGTTTATATATCTGTGCAATGTCTAGGGTGGGAGAAAGAACTTTTGTCTGTTCAAGGCAGGAAGCAGCCAAACCTTGAAACTTCAAGGCCATTAAATGCTAATCAAGATAGCCAATTGCAACATTCACACTTGCTTCAAGTAGTCAAGATTCCTTTCCATAGATATATAAACCCTATCTTCCTAGTTCCCAACAGACCTCACAACCTCTGAAGATGCCTCTGAGGATGCCTGCCACAGATGCAGGAGAAACGTCAGGAGAGAATGCTTCAGGAACATGGCCATACAGTCCAGAAAACTCACAGCAACCCAGTATGTGGGATGCCACAATTTATCCAGACCTAGCTTTTTATCTACAGTTTCTGAATCTTATATGCAGAGTGCTTGCTATCATCACAGACTGGGCCTCAACACTTTTTCCAGCCTCCTCACAGCTAATCCACAACAACTGTTTTTCTCTCAATATGGCAGTTCCTGCCCAGGCTTCAGTGACTCCTCATCTAGCTTCTACCAATCCCAGTGGGAGTGCTGCAAGATGAAAGCATCTCAAGTGGATTTCCGTCCTGAGTTTGGTCAAATTACTTTGATGGATTGTAACCCCAGAATCCCCTAGTCAGCAAGACCAGGCTAGTTGAAGGATTCTGGGAGTACCTGCCAATGAAGTGAGTTTTCAAAGCTCTGGCTCCGTGCTATGACTGAATGTCATACCTACTGTGCTAGTTCTGCATCCTTCTGCCCACAAGGCTCTTGAGGACTTTCAGCATTGTCTTACAAATCTAAGGACTCTCAGGAATAGTACTCTCTGCCAACTACTGGGCAGAGTATTATTCATCTAGTTCCAAATACGAATGGCTCAAATTTAAACTTTCTAGCACATAGATTAAACAAATGACCCACAAACCACATGTTATTCTTTACCAGAGGAGCTTTGAACCTGAAGGGGATCTACCTGCCCTATCCGCCTACCAATGATTTGATTTTTTTTCCACCACGGAGGAATCCGCTTATATAAAAAAAGTTCAGAACATCAGGAATCAATCTGCCTTAAGCTTGTAGTGTAAGATGGGTAGCCATCTCACAGCATGATCACAGTTGTGTGCCTTCAAATAGTTTCTGACTTATAGAGATCCTAAGGAAGACATATTACAGAGGTTTTTTTGTCGGAGTGTATTCAGAGAGGATTTGCCTTTGCCTCCTTCTGAGGCTGAGAGAATGTGACCTGCCCAAGGCCACCCAGTGGGTTTTCATGGCCAAGAGAGGGTTTGAACCCTGATCTCCCAGTGTCTTGATCTTAAACTCACAGCTGCCACACCACGGAGGCTCTCTCAAAACAGTGTACATCTGGAAAAAACAAAAGCAACACAGCAATTTTAGTGCCAATATATCCTATATCCCTCCAAGAAAATCATTCCAGGGGTTTTACCTTCTCTTTCTTTTGCTGGCTGTAACTTTCACAGCTGGATGCTTGAGTGTGGTTAAGTGCTCTTCATGCCTGGCCAAGATATGACTTTGTGGGTCCTGTTCTTACATGTCTCAATTACCAGATGGGCACTGGTAGTTAGGCTTAGTAATCCCCATTCTACGTAGTATTAATATACATTGGCTTCTTTTTAGAATCCCATTGTCTGCTGCAATTTCTTCTCAATAGGACTTCCACCCCTCCCCCTTTGGAGCTTTAAAACGTTTGGGCTTTCCTATTGCTCTGCCTCCTAGCCTTGACACTCTCATATGCTCACGTCACCCTGCGGTTTCCAACTAAGCCGGTCAGATTTAGTTTCAGCAGAGCTCAGCTCAATGTTTATTTCAGCTCCACTTGCTCCTGTGTTTAACTGTAGGGAACACACCTAGCGA